AAGTAGCAATGGTGTGTTTGAGATAAGCTATTGGGTGACAGATAAGTTATGTCTGAGTCATTAAATCTGAATAATACCAGCTGACCAAACTGTTGGGATGAAATCAGATAACATTTTTCACTTTGTACAGTTTGTATTTTTATAAGATACAAATATATTTGCAGGATACCTTATATTTACATTAAAAAAAACACTTTTTTTTGTTTATTTATTTTATGACAGACACACAAACGTATAGACAGCTAGTCCCCATGGTGTTGTACATACCAGTGCAATGAGGACATATTCTGCAAAATGGGAGAAGTGTCTGAATACAGTTTTACAGCACTTTCCATGTAGATGCCAAAGTGTTCACACAGAAGGTGGTCCAGACACTCAAGGTTCAAAGAAAGCTTCGACCCTAAAGGGTTTTTGTCAAGATTAATGTTGTTGTACACTTTGCCAATAAATCTGCTTGTTCTTTGAATCTTGAGTGCCTGGTTCGACAACTGTGTTTCAGTGGTCGTTTGGGGTTTAGTCTATCTCTGGTCCATTTGCACCCAGGTCATTAGGGTAATGCGGTGTCCCTTTGTTTCATCTACAAGTGTTCATGATATCCTCTGTCCGTACTCCCATCTCTGATACTCGACTCCAAGATATCTCCAGGGCTGCACCTTTTCTGTGGAACTCCCTTCCCTTCTTCGTATGACTGTCACCCAGTCTCCACGCCTTCAAAAAATCATTGAGAACTCACTTCTTCAAGAAAGCATATCAATTAAACTGTCAGGTTTTTATGCCCTACCCCCCATGACTCCTCTCCTGCAACTGTCAAGAATTACCTACTAAGCCCCCAGTGAATACTTTTCTAACAACCTACTTCATACCCCTACGTTTACCCTTTGTGTCACCATACCCCACTCCTGTACGTTCAGTTGTCTGGTTACAATTACATGTCTGTTAGTCCACCGCGCTACGGATTCTGATGGCGCTATATAAATAATAAAATAATAATAATAGTAATGATGACATCCGGTGCAAAATGGTGGATCATTCTACACACACAAACATATACACACTCTCTTCAAAAGCATTTAATGGGGTGAAAGACTAATGAGATGTAATTTTTCCATTTTCTTTTTTTTAAAGAATAGGCTAGAGGCAGTGGCGTACACACCGCGGTCGCAGGGGTCGCAGCTGCGACCAGGCCCGTCACTCCAGGGGGCCCAGCTGCCCTGCGGACCCCAGCGACTGGGTACCAGCTGCCATGTTTTGCGGCCCCGGCCCGCGCAAGAAGCTACCGTGGCCGCATGTTAAAGGGTCCATGGATATGGATTGTCAGGGGGCCCAGTCAGCACTGGGCACTTTAACAGCGCGACCGGGCCCCCCTGTGATGACATCACTGCAGGGAGAAAGTGACTCCTCCCGGTCACTCCTCCCAGCATACAGAGAGCCCGCGCGGGAGGAAGCAGGAATTGTGGGAACTCTGACTCCCATCAGGCTGAGCCACCACTGGACCCCAGGGAAAGTCACAAAAGGTAGGAAACATTTTGTGTATGTGTGTGTGTGTGTGTCTGTATGTGTGTCTCTGTATGTGTGTGTCTGTGTCTCTGTATGTGTGTGTCTCTGTTTTGTGTGTGTCTGTGTCTCTGTATGTGTGTGTCTCTGTATGTGTGCCTGTGTCTCTGTATGTATGTATGTGTGTGTCCGCATGTGTGTGTCTCTGTATGTATGTGTCTGCATGTGTGTATGTATGTGTCTGCGTATGTATGTATGTATGTATGTATGTGTCTGTCGGGGGGGTGTGTTCTGTCTGTGTATATGTGTTTGTGTCTGTATGTATGTGTCGGGGGGCACAGTCAGGGGGAAGAGGGTCAGGGGAGAGGGTGGGGAGAGGGTAGGGAGGGGCCACGGATCAGTTTCGCACCGGGGCCCCATGGATTGTGTGTACGCCACTGGCTAGAGGTTTTACCAAAAAAGGTACAAAATGGCATTTTCATCTTCCGTGCTTTTTCACCAGATACGTGCTGTCTCCAGACAATAGATTCTGTGAAATCTTTAGCATGCATTAAAACCTCCTCGTTTAAAAAGAAAACTTTAATATCAATGCTTAACTGAAAAATATATCTCTATGCTACCAGGGGTAAATGTTCTAGTGGTATTTGATGAAAAAAAGTGGAATATAAAAAAAAATGTTGTAAACACTAAAAAGGTCAAAGTCTCTTCGATGACCAGATAGACAGTTATTGGTTATTAATGCAAGAAAAGAGACAATGATCTGATGTGAGAAAAAAAAAACCTGGCGTGAATTGGATTTATTCAATTACAAATTATGGAAATCTGTCAAAGGTATTGCGAGCTATAGCCCAATATAGACCACGTGGAAAATTGCTGAATTTGAGAATCTTTTTAATTTGGCTTTTGATCTGACATTTGCAATATCCTAGTAATTTCTCGACAATAACCAATGTATGACTGCAGTTGTATTCCTCTTCACGTCTCATCTTCATTCTGAGTGTGATTGTTAAAAAGGTGATCCATAAAGTACTGGGTAGTTTTCTTTGGAAATGCTTTAAAGAAGAATATCACAAGCTTTTAGAACAAACAAGTCCTACAGCTCAACAGTTCAGAGATACAAGGTGTATCAGGTCATGGTATTTTCGACTCGGTAATGTGCCCTAGCTAATGTTTAGTCTGGATGGACCTATTTCCTGCTTCAGCAAACATTGTCAGATATATGCTCATTTCAACGGGAAAATGACCTCGGCTTAGGAGTCAACATCAGTCTTCATCACTAATTCTAATCTATGGGCTGCTTAATATGAGCTACAATAGTTAATTATTCCTGTCTCTGCATAAACTGTCCAGCCTATGTTTCTACTAGTGTTTCTACTGTCAAAATATTTAGGGAAATATTCTTAAAGTTACATTAGTGTTACCAATACCAATATGTATTTCTAACACAATAGTGCTCTACTGACTATTAGAATGTCCAGACCCCAACCCCCAATGTTCAATTAATATAAAGTTTTACTTGCCTTTCATCCCTCGCTGCACTGAACCCCACACAGCCACCATGCGACGCTGGCTGAGACCATCAAGATTGATAGGACAAGCAACTCGCACCGCTGCACCGATCAAATGTTCTCTAAGAGCAATATTTGTTTTAAAAAACTCTAACTCTGTACTCTCAGTGGAAGCACCTCTAGTGGCTGTCAGGAAGACAGCCACTAGAGGTTGTTTTTTACCCTGCAATGGAAAACATTGTCATTTCTAGTAAATGGCAGTGCAGTTTACAGAAACACCGTAGTCACTAGAACAACTACAGTTTATTGTATTTATTCTGGTGTCTATAGTCAGTCCCTGCAGGCTTTTTGCTGCTGTAAACACTGCCTTTACAGCCTAGGGACATCTCCAGTGGCCACTCCTCAGATGGCTACAACAGGGGCTTACTGGGTTAGTGCTGGACGGTGTGCATCACTAACGTTCAGCGTCTCCATGCTTTGCATGGAGACGCTGAACTTTCCCCCACAGAGATGCATTGACTTAATACATCTCTATGATGAGATGTTGATTGGTCGGGCCGGTGATTGGCCCTGCCCCACCTTCTTTTGGCGGACCCACACAACGCTGAAAATTAGGTGAGTGTTTTTACCTTTTAAGGGCTGGTGGGGTTGGGCAAGGCACCATAAATGGGTGTTTTAAAATTATAGAGTCAGAATACATGTTTGTATTCGTGACCCTATAGTGTTCTTTTAAAATGTCAGGGGCACAGCACCCAGACCACTTTATTAAGATGAAGTGTTCTGGGTGTTTTTAGTGTCTCTTTAATTGATAAATAATGTTACTTATTCAAAACTTTTCTTTATAAATTTTACCTATTTGGCTGACGTCAATGGATCTACAACATTTATTTCTAAAAAAAAAATAAATGTTTTACTATATATATATATATATGACTAAAGACGTCCTATTTCTGAATCCTTGGACAAATATCTTATTTTAGATTTGGGTGACCACTTTTGCCTTTTTCCATCTTTCTGGCAGCTAAGTATCATCTTCATTGACACTTTCTTTTGCTTTGCTGATTTAACTTATAAATCTGAACATGAACTGACTCTTAGAATTGCACATTGTATCTTATTTCCAGACTAATTTGTGAGATCACTAAGGGTCCTGACTCCATCACTAAACTGATATAGAGTAGCTGGCATGGCAGTGGAGGACCACAAGACTGTATATGCTAGGTTCTTTATGCATATTGAAAACGCTTGAGTTGTTTATTCTTTGTATACTGTATCCCTAAGTTTATTATATAATAAATATAATTTGCTACCATCCCTATGCTTTGGAAACTTTTTGCTAAATTATGTTTGTGTCGACAGAACCATGATTTTTTTTGTGCTAATTGCTGGGTAATCTTTGTTCGTGCGATAGACTTAATGTTCCATGGATGTGGACTTTACATGGAAAATAACATGTACTGCTGGTAAATTTTAAAATTAAACCTACCAATAACCTGAGATAAGCAAAATATGTATGGATTAAATATAATATCTACTTTTTGTTCCATGGGCTTATTGCAATTAGCGGGCCTGGAGTCCTATGTTAATCTTGTGATGTACAGAATGTTGATAGTCAAGCATGTCAAAACACAAAGTCTAGCAAGGGCCAAATAAACAAGGTTTAAGTTTATGTGGGCTGAAAAAAAAGCAAAATCTTACATTTTCATAGAAACGTAGGTTTATTTTTAAAAGTTCAGTATAAAAAAAAAAACAGCATCCCCCTCTACTAAACCACAGCACCCCGCTCTACTAAATCCCAGTCCCCCCCTCTACTAAATCCCAGTCCCCCCCTCTACTAAATCCCAGTCCCACCCATATACAAAATCCCAGCACCCCCTCTAGCCAACAAGCAGACTCTACTCACATTGCCTCTCCAGTATGCGACTCCGGAGTCCGGTCTCTGGTATACCCCAAATGGCGCCGTCCGCACCCTGTGCCAAAGCAGATCCTCCCGCTACTTTTTGAAACCCTGTGAAGGTGGAGCACGTCGACGTCACGTTGGAATGTGACGTGGCATTGCGTGCCTCCATGCACTTCCAGGTCCTCCTCTGTCCAGCCGCAGCCATCGCTCACACTCACTGACAGAAACACACAGACACACTCACTGACAGACACACAGACACACACTGACAGACACTCACTGACACACACAGACAGACACACACTCACTGACAACCAGACACACACACTCACTGACAGACACACACACACTGACACACAGACACTGACAGACACACAAAGAAAAAAAAAAAAAGAAGAAGAAAACACAGGCAGTACTCTAGGATATAGAAGGTGAATTTATCCGTGGGTTCACCACCTCACCAAAACAAGTGCGACGTTTCGGCTCCTAAGAGCCCTGGTAAATGTTAGCAGAGTAGGCACCTGCAATGTGGGGAAAGCAGGTGCCTACTTTATTTGGAAGACTAGGCATGTACTGGCGGTTTGCCGGGGCGCAAAGATGTCCATTGTGGGCCGCATGCGGCCTGTGAGTTTGGCATGCTTGTTGTAAGTGAATCTACTTCCTCAATGTGAAGTGCATGAAAATAACATGTATTGAATTCAGATATGAATAATGGGATATTGTTCTTGGCTATATGAAAACACTACATGTTTGGAACCCATGATATTAGCATATATCTATAAGGTTACATTTTACAGTAGGAAAATCTGCAAGCACTTTATCCAGCACCATAAATAAATGAAATGTTATTTTAGTCATGTCAAACTAATGTAGAGAAGAACTTGAAGCTAGAAATCTTTTGGGGCCTCTTTTTGCTCCAATGTAATTAAACATTAGATCCCCATCTGTCATACATCTTTCACAATACTTTGCCAGCTAAGGATATATCATTTGCCCATCCTTGCGAGGTTGTATTTGTAAGCAGTGTTCGTGTGTTTGAATGTAAGCATGCTTTTGTATGGAGTGTGTAAATGTAGCAGTGTATTTGTGTGTAGTGTTGGCATTTGAATGTAGTTGTTTGTACTGTTGCAGTTGGAAAACAGTGGTGTACTTGTGTAGTGTTTGTATGTAGTGTTGGTGTTTAATGCAGGCTGTGTACTTGTGTATACTGTTGGTGTTTGAATGCTGGGATGTACGCACATTTACACATACACTGCCACACATATACTGACACAGAGATACACACACAGGCACACATGCATGCACATGCACAAATTTACATGTTTTTAGCCACCCTCCTTTCTCTATACGTTTTTGGTGCATGAGGGTGGCTGACTTCTGGCCCACTGGCTGCAGCAGGTGCTGGCTGAAGCTGATGGATGTCTGTGGCTAACCCCTTCCCCTCTATGCTGCCTCCTCTCCCTCTCCATGCAGCTCTCTGGCAAGCTGGGAAGTAATGGCCTGTACACACTTTCTCCTAGCACAGTGATCCTACATGCCCATATTGTGACCCTAATTGCGTGGGCCAGCTGATAGTCCCTTCCAGCTTGTAAGGGGTCACTGTGGTTGCGCCAGCTGCACCGCAGATAGATCTGCCACTGTATCCTATAAAAAGTGCTACAGTCTCATAGCTATCTGAATGATACACTGTAAATGACAAGTTTCAATACATAAAATCAACAAATGCTGAATATACTATTATATTAGCAAATAAGAGTAATAATGACTACCTTGAGCTTTTTGTGTCAAATGCATTTTAACACACTTTTATTAATATTGAGAGATGATCATCAATCTCAAAACTAAAACCAAATTGTTATGATTGCCAGACCATCACTGCACAAAATAATTCAACTTTGGACCTACTGCTACCAAAAGAGGTGATTAATATTTAGCAGAGCTTAGTCTTTTAAAGTATATTTTTTTGGGAACCTCTGCCTTTTCTCAAGATTAGTCATTGACTTATTTAAGAGTTCAAGGTTTAAACTTCTAAAGGTTTTTTTTTACAAGTTTATACATTAGGAACACATATTCTGAAGATCTGAATACTTCAGTAAGAATTTTTATTATTCTAAAAATCATGGTATAATTCCATTTGCTATGTTTAAGCAACCTTGGGTAAGATTTATAAAGAGGAGTAAAGGGACAATCCCCTTGGACCCTAAAGAAATCAATACGAACATTCCATTGGTTTCCATTTTCATCACTTTCATGTTAATGGCACTTTTAAAATCGCCCTATGGATTTCATAAATAGCTTATCCTCAGACAATATTTACATTGAGGTTTAGTAGATCACACTTATTTTGTTTATAACTTTCAAAGGTCAATAACACCATAACAGGTATTTTTTTCAAAGGAAACAGCACACCAAGAGAAGCTTGTTTTTTTTAAAACTTATGAAGAACAGGTTGTTCTGTTGTAATTCCTTTATTAGGGCTGTTGAAAGAAAGAAGAAGAATACACCATCAAGCTTTAAAAACTAGATTAAATATAAATAGAGGAACCTGAAGGTCGAAGGTCATCCTGCAGTTAGCCTTGAAGTCCTCTGAGTCTAATGGAGCTTTCAATAGGAATCTGCACAAGTGCTATAGGTCTGGTCAACATATTGCATTACACAATCTTCTAATAATTAAAAGACTAATCAGCCATTGTTTTATTCTTTCCTTAAGGGGATGCAAAAAGAGGACTGATAAAAGATGTGCATGAACGGATGTTAAATGATTCTTGATGATTGATTTTTGTCTCAAGGAATGAACCAATCACTCAGCTATTTCTAAACTGCTGCAAAAATTCTGATTGCAAACGTTGTTATAAATTCTATAATGTGACCGGCAACCAAAATGGACCATATTATCAAAGTATGATGTGACATCAACTATACAGTGCTGCAAAATGACTTTTCTAAGCAGTACTGAAAGGTATATTATAAAGTTCCCCCTAATCATTCGTCACTAATATAAAACATTTATAAACCACATACATGTATGTGCACAGTACAACAAATTATTTTGCCAACTAAACCCATGAATTAGCTGTGACTGTTTAGAATCCAGCATGTTTAGGGTTATGGAGGCTTAGAATTTGGAGTTCCGTTGTATAGGGTTGAAAATTAGGCTTAAGGGTGACCTGGGGGTAGAGGTAGGTATCCTTCAGATGTAATGAACCCATTACTCCTACATATGGTTTACTAATCATTCTGTAATGATTTAGGATCATTATATATTCACAACATACAAGTAGAGCAGCGTAATAATAATGCTTTAATTTGTGCAATACTGATTGTCTTTTTTATTTATAATTGTATAGTGTCTCATTTATTATTTGATTTGATCCATGAAGACACCATACATTAATTGTTAACATATAATACAAGCCCACATTATTATTACTGTAGTCTAAAAGCTTTAAATTAACAAATAGTTCTAAAGAAGTAAGCTGTCAACAAATTGATGCCGTGTTACAGTGTATAATTCTAAGGGTGTTAAATATAGAGCACGTAACATTAAATGACCCCAGGAAAAAAAAAATGAAAATACTATTAATTAACATGGTGCAGCAGGAAATGCTGTCCAAGAGCCAAAATGTCCAGACGGACTTTAATTATAAACAGAAATACTTTTTAGCAATTGTTTCCATGAATTGAGGGGAACAGATTTTCTTGGAGCTGATACAGTTCAAGAAGCACAACGAGTTAATAGCATTAATAATGGTATTTTCTAGAATTATATGTTTTCAAACATTTTTTAAAAAAAATCGGAATCATTTCCAAGTTACTAAGAGATGTAATCACAGGTTCTATCCTAATAGCTTTTTCTGTTGTGTATTACAATATACAGACTAAGGAACAGCGCACACTCAGAAAAATAGAGTTTTACGTTTTGCAATGTTATTTAAAGTTACCTTTCCCAGCAAACAAATATGTGATTCAGTTCCACCATATGGCCATATTGTGTTAAGTCGTCCACTACGTCACAGTACCCCAATATTAGTGGACTGCAATACTAACTGCTTAACCTGATTCCAGAGACTCTCCTCAATTTAGGCATTCCTGTGGTCACCTCCAAAAGGGATTAAAGCGTTATATTATATCTGGAACTTTCCTATCCTGGGAAAAAGGAAGTTATACTGTACTAAACTGTACTAGAAAATATTCTGGTGTTTCTCTGTTCTGGGGAATAATTAGGGGGCTTTCCTACACTTATAGAAATGGTAGTGGCACATTTCTTTTATTTGAAAATAGTCTTCTATGCTGAAACAAAATGTGTCTTGGAGTATTTTGCTGTCGTTATTTTCAAGGCCATTTATTTAAGATTACGTCCCCAATAAATAGCATTGAATCACCAAATCCGATAACTTCAACATTAAGTATTATATTGACTTTCTATATTCTTTCAAAATCAATATTATTAGAAGCAATATTTATCGACTCCTGATAGGCCTTTAATGGCGAGATTAAATTGATTTGAACTGATAAAAGGCTTATCAGTTGCCAGTAAACCTTATCGGCTGGACTGTAATCAAGACCTTAGTGAATAACCACCACACATTTCATTATAAGGTGTACATTATTTTCTGCACCCTGTTTTATACTGTGACATAGAAAACTACAGTACATAAACATACATACAGACATACACAGGCATACAGACAGACATACACACACATACAGACACACACAGACAGACAGCCATGCACACACATACAGACACACACAGACATACACACATTCACATACAGACACACAGACAGACATACACACACATACAGACACACACAGACATACAGACATAAACACACATACAGACACACAGACAGACATACACACACTCACATACAGACACACACACAGACAGACACACATACACAGACAGACATACAGACAGACATACACACACACAGACATACATACAGCAAGACATACAGACAGACATAGACGCACACACACACAGACACACAGACAGACTCGCACACAGCAAGACATACAGACAGACATACACACACTTACAGACACACACACAGACATACACACACATACAGACACACACACAGACATATACACACATACAGACACACACGTAGACATACACACAGACACACACTCACATACAGACACACAGACACATACACTCACATACAGACACACAAACAGCATGGGCCACCTGATGGGCCCTTTCAATGCGGCCCCGGCGGTTACACCGCGCTGGCCGGGGCCGCATTACTCAGCTGGCAGGACCTGCTGTCGCAGGGGGTGGCAGGGGTCCGCAGGGCGGCCAGGCCCCCTGAAGTAACGGGCCTGGTCGCAGCTGTGACCCCTGCAACCGCGGTAGTTCCACCACTGAGTGTGTGGAGAGGTGACAGGGTGTGTGAGGGGGATGTGACAGGGTTTGTGGGAGCGGCTGTGACTGTGTGTGGGGAGACAGGCTGGGGATGACTGTGACAAGGTGTGTGTGGAGTGATAAGATGGGGGTGGCTATGAGGGTGGGGGCTGAGAGAGGGTAGGGGGGCTGTGAGAAAGTAGAGAGGCTGTGAGAGGGTGTATGTGGGGTAGGGGGAGGAGGAGGAGTAGGAGACTGTGTGAGGTGGATAGGGGCTGTGAGGGTGGGTTGGGGGCTTAATGAGTGGATTAGGGGACTGTGAGGTGGGTGCTGGCTCGGGGATTAGGGAGATGGAGTAAGGGGTGGTAGGGGCGTGGGGTGGGTAGGGGCTGTGGAATGGGTTAGGGGGCTGTGGGTGCAAGGAAGCTGTGAGAGGGTGGGGGACTGTGAGGGGTAGGGGGGCTGTAAGGTGGATAGGGGGCTGTGAGTTGGGTAGGGGGGCTGTGAGGTGGGTAGGGGGCTGTGAGGTGGGTTTGGGAGCTGTGAGCGGGTTAGGGGGCTGTGAGGTGGATTAGGGGGCTGTGAGGTGGGTAGGAGGCTGTGGGAAGCGAAATTAGCTTTTGTAATTATTCCCTGGTGGTCCCGTGGACAGCTTTTTCTGGTGGTCCAGTGTGCTCCCTTTCCAGTCTGCAGCTCCGCCGGGAGTGAGCTGCAGACCATGTGGTAAGTTTCGCGAACTCTAGTCAGAGCATTGCCGTGGTAAGCCACCGTAACGCTCTGATTGGCTGACACCTCAGTCTGCAGCTCACTCCCCATTCTGTTTATCTTTACTTGCCATGTGGGTTTCACACATATTTTCCTGTTGATCTATTCCTGCAGTTGCAGGCTTGCATGTGTTACTCAGTTGATCTATACCTGTCGTTGCAGGCTTGCATGTGTTATTCAGTTGATCTATACCTGCAGTTGCAGGCTGGCATGTGTTACTCAGTTGATCTATACCTGTCGTTGCAGGCTTGCATGTGTTACTCAGTTGATCTATACCTGTCGTTGCAGGCTTGCTTGTGTTATTCAGTTGATGTCTGCCATATGGTATTGCGTTGATCTATACCTGAAATGCAGGGTTGGGATGTGTTTTTCAGTGGATTTGTTATTCTCTGTACAGTTAATCTATATGCTTCATGCTTTTTACCCTGCATTGCTTACTTTGTACAGTTGAGTCTTACTTGGCTGATGTATATAATGCTTTTGCACATTGGCCTAAAAAGTGCCTGATGTCGAGTTCATAAACATTTTTAATACCAGGCTTCAGCCCTGGCAAACTTTTTATTTCTGAATATGTATCAGAAATGATTTGGGTCCCTTGGGGCGTGTTTTAGTCTTGATTATTTTCACATGACCCAGCGGACATTTCTAAGCTATTACAATATGTTTAAAATCACCATTATAATCCATCCTCTCCCATAGTTTGGGATTCTAAATCGTTTTGCCCATGGTTTAGATGTAATTAATTTGTGTTTTGTTATCTAGATCAAATATAGCAAATATATATGATTTTTTAGTGATTGCCATGGATAAGAATAAAAAGGGTGAAGGTAAAAAGAAAACAGAGAGGTGGAGCAGAAAAAGAACGTGGAAAAAAAAACTGTTAGAAAAAGATGCACACCAGTATCAAAAAGTCTGTAGCTTGTTTAAGATAGTGGCTACAAAGCATGACTTACCACCTACATCTCAACATGAAGACAGTGGTGCTCGCTGTAGCACAGCAATGCATAGCTCTGTGCAAAGCACTGTTCAATTAGCTACTGATACAGGTGAAGATATAAGATATGTTGAGCTAGAAACTGATAAACATGACGAATCATTAGCAGAAGAAGAGATTCTAGAAGTAGTTGGCATTAAAGAGGGCATGCCTGACATGGTTGATGATAAAACGTGGTTTATCAGATCAACATCTGAAAACTTGGATTCCTTCTTATTGTTTTATCCATGTCAACCAGTTGTCCTTTCTTTTAATTCAAAAAAGTTATATCAGAAGAGGGATGGAAAGAAGCGTCACTGGTGGACATATTCACATGGACATGGTCCTTTTTCCTGCATGGTGTGTGTAGCTTTCAGTAAAAAGACGGACAGCAGTGTTGTTATTGATGGTTGCATTGATGAAAAGTGCATGTATCAGACGATTGAAGAGCTCGAAAGAAGCAACTTCCACAATAATGGCTCTGAATCCTTTTTGATGAGGTCAAAGAATATGGACATATCTCGTCATTTCTTTGAGAAACAAACAAAGCCAGAAAAAGAGGAGAAGTGAAGAGAAAACGTGCCATCCTAGAGAGGATAATTGAAACAGTCAAGCTGATTGGAAAAAGAGCCCTAAGCTGAAGCAGCATATACTTTAGATAATGAAAGGTTGGGCCATGGAAATTTCTAACAATGAAGGTCAAGATGAAGACACTATCCATTCTCATCTTATCTCTGTGTCACGACACTCCTTAGTTAATATGCCATCATGCAGTACTCACACTCACCACTGTTTCTGTTTGGCACTGTTTCTAATTTCTATTCGTTAAGCACTTCACCTGGTCCTTGTTTAGCACCTATATAGTTTGGTTTCTCCTCTCACTCCTTGCCAGATCATTGTCTCTTGTCTCCTGTTTACCTGTGATCCTGGCTCCTTGGTCCTGTGTCTCCTGATCCTGCGTTACTGTGTCCTTCGTTCCTGTGCCCTCCGATCCTGTGCCCTCCGATCCTGTGTTCTGGTTCCGTGTTCTCAGCTTTATTACCAGTGATCCTGACCCTGCAGCCTTGTTCATTTATTCTGCTTCTGACCTTGCTTACTGGTGTCAGTATATTAGTCTGGATCTGTGCCCTACCTACTACTTGTGGTAACTGCACAATCCTGCCCTTATACCAAAGGACTGTTTCAGTTTACGTTGCCTGCACTATTCGTGCTTATCCTGATTTATTGTATATATTTTCTGTGTGTGTGTGTATGTGTGTGTATGTATGTGTATGTGTGTGTGTGTGTGTGTGTGTGTGTGTATATATATATATATATATATATATATATATATATATATATATATATATATATATATATAATGACATATTGAAAATCCTTGGAGCAACAGAGCACGGGTAATTTAAAAAAAACTCTTTTGGTTGGGGTGTGTGTGTGTGTGTGTGTGTGTGTGTATGTATGTGTGTGTGTATATGTGTGTGTATATATATATATACCCCTGCACTCCAACCAAAAGAGGTTGGGGTTTTTTTTAATTACCCGGAGCTCTGGTTGCTCCAAGGATTTTCAATACGTCATCTTTTTTTATTCTGAGAAATACATCGTTTCAGCTCCCCTAAGGAGCTTTCATCAGGACACTCATGAGTATATTTTTTTTCACTCTCTATCTCTCTATCTTATTCATTTGTGTCTTGGCATTTATTTCTTTGCTGTATTTGTTCCCACATTTAAAGGGACAGTACTGTTCCAGGGCAGCACCCCTTCATGTCATTACACTCTGAAACTGAGGAACTCAAATGTTGGTGATAAAAGTGGAAAGTACAAGACTTGTAAGAGCTGTATAGCCTGCTGCTACAATGTGTTAGTGCGTTATAACTTATACAGTCTGACGTATAGTTCACTTTTTAATACATACAGATTGACACTGACACTTTCCTCGTCTCAATTGGCATGTGAGAGGTCATTTTCGAAACTTAAATACATCTTGAACAGACTAAGAAATTCCCTCACTCAAACACATTTTGGAGGCCCTCATGTTTATGTCCATGGAGAAAGAGGACTTGATTGGACTAAGCAATAAAACCAACATTGATGTTTTGGCTTCGAAAAGCATCTTGCTACAAGGGATGTTGCTTATATAACATGACAAGCATGTCAGTGAATTACAATACTGGTTAAAATGTAATTTTCAAAATTTCTAACTACTTTTTATAAGTTTTTATCCTCTAAAACTTTAGAAAACCGTTTGCACATTGCAACCTCCTGTCCAACATACGCCACCCCCTCCCCCCCATGTTACTGAACTACAACTCCCATTATTCCCTGGCTATCTGTTTTATTGAAAGAATAATGGGAGTTGTAGTTGAGTGACAGCGCTGTCCTAAAGGTTAATGAGCCCTGTTTTCATCTACTGTTAAACTAATTTACTTGTTTTAAAGCACTTTTTTTGAGTAATGTTTGTACATTACTTTTTGAAACCTGTTGAGTTGCCTGCCATGAAACTGTTACATCTTAAACTGCATTCTAAAACTGTGCTAGAACGCTAGTTGGCAATAAGGTATTTACACTTTATTGAATTCTAAAGGGTTTTTGCACATTTTGTACTGTTACAGAATTGACAGCAACATATTTGCCCTTTTTTTTTTTTTTTCTCAGTTTATTATAACTGTTATATTTACTGTATTGTAAAACATTTTGCACTTTTTTGTTACCTCTAAAAGTGTATTTACACTATTTATCTACTACTGTTTTGTGTTTTATTAGTAATTTATATATGTTAAGTTAATAAAGTTTGGAAACAGTTTGCGTCTTATATACTTTGCAGTAAAGCTTATGGATTATTCTTTATTTGGACAATTTTGATTGGACAGACATAATTGCATGTGATAATGGTCTACTGTGATATTTGGAACAATGGGCGTTCCATATAAAGCGCTGTTGTTTGGCAAAGTTCTAAATGTAGCCTAAACACCATAGCAATAAATGGACTACTTGTGAAGATTGCTCCATGTTTACAACTTTACACTGTAATTTGCTCTTTATATATAAAGCCATATATGCTTTCACATCTGTCTTATCTATAAATGTTTCACTCCTCAAATGTGCTTTTAAAATGCATGGTTTTTCTGGTTGTCGTTCTGGCATAATGACTCGATGGGGCTGGTATGCAATTTTTTTTTTTTTTTTCAGGGCTTGTTTTCAGTCTGTCCCTGGTTGGACACCCCTGGTCTAACCTCTTCAACAACTTCATTTAGATAACATTGCTATGGTGCCCAGAGTGTTCCTTTTAAGCATCTTTCTTGTCCATACAGATTTGATGATGATAATAAAAGGGCTAAATTATGTCCAGTGAAATTATCCTTTAGCACATTTGAGGCAAATATATTCATGTATGTTATGCACCGCTTGGCTTAGCTTAAGGAGAGTTTTCGGCCTCTGAAGGCTGTAGTGGAGGTAGGGAGAGACATCTGGAGGACCCCAGGTAAGACCAAACCATTCTAAAACAGTTTGAATACTTACACTTCAGGTGGAGGCACCAGGGCACTCCTGGCACCATAACCACTACAGTAAGCTGCAGTGGTGGGTGTTTGGAGAGTTTATTTTACAATCATTAAAATGAAGAACAAAATACTATCGAAAAGAAAACTCTGCATTGAAATATAACATCGCGTTTAAGTTGTAGTAATGGTTTTTAATGTCAGACTTTTCAAATTACAATCAGCAGGGTTGATGTAGGCTGCTACTTAACTTTTGCAAACCTTCTTTAAACACCCTGTCGTTATTGTAGCTCTACATCTGATTACAAATCTCTTCAAGCAGTAGGTTTTGGCAGTAAATGCATGATGAAAGATTTATATGGAACATGTGTGTTCACTACTAGCTGCACTAAGCCAACATCTTTTCTTCCCCTCGCTGTCATTAGTAAGAAGTACTTCGCAGAGTGCTTACATGAGGACAGCTAATGAAGAATGTGATAAGGTCCATAACCTAGCAACCGCTACTGTTCAGTATCAATGGACTGAGCTTAACGTGATCTATCTGAAAATTCAGTTTCATGAGTTCCAATGCTTATATATTAATGCTCTCTAAACAAGAGGGCCAAGAACAGTCCAGGACAGAGTTCTATTATGCATTTTACATCCAGATAAATTGTGAGCTGCTAATGTATCCTGATGAATCAGACTACTCATTAATTTTACTTCAGTAGCTTAGGAGAGATAACAGAAACTCAGATGCATAAGCTTGTGGCTCTCCTGATTGTAGAAAAGAGACATGGAGTAGTGTCCATCAGACATCAGTTAAGAAGTCAAACCTGTCTAAATGGGGAGAGCCAGAATACTTCCAGCTCCAAAAGCACTAGAGCATGTTCTGTAGCTTGGAGTGTTCCTTTAAAGAAATTATGTTTTATTTGCCTGTGACCCCGCTTTGGAACCCCAAAGGCACCTTTTGATTTAGACAACTTAACAAATTGCATTTGTTTAAAACTTACTTTTCTGATTTAAATCTGTACTTCTTTGGACTGGACTGGACTAGCAAATATATATTTTAACTTTTTAGGTTATTTCATTTGTTTTTGTACATGATATTTTTGAGCTTGAAGACTAGACTTTCCCCCTGTACAACTCTAAACTGAGTATAGTTGGAGAATAATTGACTATATTATCGAATACATTTTACCTTTCCTAGCGTATTCCCAACCATTCACATTCCATTGGTGTGTTCTACAGTGGTGCTCTTAAACTTTTTCCAAAATACTTTGTAACATATATTTATTCGATCATGCACTCCACATTCTCTTTTATTTTACAAATTACTCTAGTATCAACATTATCTGTCAATTGCGATTTAGTGCTGAATTTGTGTGATATTAGAACCATTCGGTCAAATCATTACTTCTCCTTGTAAGTACATGAAGAGTGTCCAGCTTTGGCTCTCCATATTTGTACAGATAAGCTATGAGGTTTGGTCACTTGTTTAAAAAAAAAAATGAACACTCTATCTAGCTATTATACTGAGGTTTTTGTCACATGCATTTATGCAAAAAAATTAATTATTATCCATTTATCAAGTAGTACTTCCAAGTTCTCCCATAACTATATTAGTGACATATTCAAAAGTAAAGCAATTGGGTCCTTTTGTTTTATTAGGAGTATCAGAGTTCCTGTTTCCATGCAATTATCTCCCTTTCAAATCTCTAATTTTCATGGGATTTTAATTTGTTTTACTAATCTCAAGTACTATTTCCCTTCGTTATTATCTCTTTGTTAGATGTTTTAGGATTCCTCCAAGCTATTTTGATGGACAGACAGAATCATAAGTGTTTGTTATATTTTGATAATTTTATTACTTACTGTTGTAATTGGGTTTTTTTTTTTCTGCTTGGGTGATATTTCTTAACAAAGGTATAATCATAAACCACTGTTTTGTAAAAGTATAGAAATATTATACCAGTGATAAATTCACATTGTTCTTTTTTTCCATTAGACTGAAGTGGCACTTGAGTTAACTTTGTTTATTTAATGTTATACCAGAACAAAACTCCCCCAATACCACATCAGCGGTGCTTATCT